CCCCCTCCCCCTCTCTCCATCGTATCTCTGATAAGGACAATAGCTGCCAAGTGGCATCTTCTGTATCTATTTTAGACTGGCTGCATTGTCATTACCTGCATACGTACTAGCGTGCTCTTGCATTCCCTCCGCCCACTATTCTCTTGAGTTTCTTAAATGAACGCGCCGTGTATCCAGCTTCCTTTGCTTTTCCTAGTTCTTATGTATATCTATGGTTTATACATGTGTATCTGTATATATATAAAATATATACTCAATACTATCCTTCTGCTTCTCGCCCGTCGCACCGTGCTAACTTTTACCTATACGCTACGCTACACAAAGTCGATTTCGCGGAACTAACCGCTGGAAACTCCGACGGGCTAACTTTTAAGTTTACTGCGGTCCGACCTCGTTTTCTTAGTATTCTCACGGTAAAGCAGGCGGCGTCGATAGAGGAAGCGTAAAAGAAATCGACGATACGAAAGGTTACGTTTACTTGGGAAACAGGAGGATTCTCTGACTCCGCATTGCGAAAAATTTTCAGATATCTTTTATTGTCAATGCTATCGCGCTGCCTATGATTTTGCGTAGATATTATCGTATAGCTTTACTGTATCCTATTAGAATATCGGCTCTGTTAGACTGAATGTTCTTCCGGTTTATAAGAATGACAGGATTTTCTTTATGGAAATATCGACGTCTTTGCCAGTTACGAGTGAAAAATAACCAAACCCCCTGGCGACTTAGGATTTAGGTTAATGACGAGGGGAGATGGAGGGGTGGTCTTTTGTGCGTCTGAAATTGAAGGATCCATATCGGTTCTCCGAATAATTATATTCCCGAGTAGTCGTTTTCCCGAAATTTCATATTTCCCAATGGGCAGCTTCCCATAACGTTATTTTCCTGAATCATCATTTTCCGGAAAAATCAGTTTCCCGAATATGTACGATTTCCCGTACCCGTTTAAAGTCAGTCACTCAGGAATGTGAATTTTCAGGGAAACGACCCTTTCGGAATGTAATCATTTGGGAAAAGGATAGGGACTCCTAATTAAGGTCTGGCGACAGAATCTTGTCATAATTTTGTCAACATTTTCCAAATTTCAAATTACGCAATACTTTTATACTCTAATTTCACACCGAATGACATTACGTAATGCAGTTTAACTTAATTACAAAATAATTAACCTACACATTCTATTGACGTGCTCGCTCAAATATCAAAGGACAAGTCGTGTTTGTCGAATAAGTCAAATTCTTACATAATTTACAATATTTTTCATCGTACTCCGTGTAATCGTCTCTCACCCAATAGTTCGTTTTCTATAGCCGACGAAATTTCCTTTCTTTTGTCTAGTCGCACTCCTCTTGTACAACGAGATTTTCGAAAGGGACAAATCCCAGAGGGGGTAACTTCGCTTCCGCAGTTCGGAGCCATCAGTTCCCATCTAAGTTTACCCCGTGCGCGCGCAACCATCTCCAACCGGCAACAAGACAAATTGCTTATCGTTAGACGATATCCGGAAATATCCGGATAGCAGTTATGGAGCGCGTTACTGTAGCGCTATTGAAACTATTGCAATTTCGTGGATATATATCTATATATGTCCTGTGTATACGTATATACGTATAGAAGGTATCAACGGGTATAAGAGGTATCGAAAGAGTGAATTGCCTGGTGTAACGCGATGAGACCGGAAGGGGTATGCATTCGACGTCGAATCTTCGGATGCACCAAGGTGCGCTATAACAATTGTCGTAAAGGAAAAAGCTCAGGGCAATTTCTCGAGAAAACTCTTTGCCGATTAGCTATGCCAGAGTGAACGAAATAAGTAAGAATTCAGGAGAGCTTATAGAATACCATAGGTAAGTTTGCTCCGTCGTTCGGTCGCATAGGGGTAGATAACTTTCTTACCCCCTGAAACGTTTCCAATGAAGAAATCGTAAATTTTCTATAAGTCGAGACGGAGCCCGGATATTATCGTCAAGGTTGGAATTTTTTGTTACTCGCCAATTAGCAAAATTCGCATGAGTGCTTTTTCCCGGAATTTTCGTTTTTTTAAATATTTTTATAAAATTTACTGTATTTTCGTTAAAAAAAAAAAAAAAAAAAAAAAAAAAAAAAAAAAAAAAAAAAAAACGTTAAAGACTAATTCGTTTGTCCCGTAACGTGTACTTTTATAAATTCAATGGAAATTGTTATTTCCATCTGGACCATACGGGATTGTGGAATATAGGTCGATAGATTGGATCATTATAAATTGAAGCGATATGGGTATACGAGTAAGGGATGAGAAATATCCGGTAAGATAAGCCCCACTGAAATCCTCACATCCCATTTCCTCGAAGT